CCTCACCATCCCTACTCAGCCCCGCTCCAGCGCCCCCAACAACAGCCTCACCCTGCTGTCCCTCGCTCTCACTGACAAGCTTCTGCACCCTCCCCACCCTTCCATCTCGTAACCTCACTTTCACACCGCGCGGATGATCACCCCGTGTTAGCAGATCGGCGACGACACCGCGGACTTGGTGTCCGGTGGGTTGATCCTGTTTGAGAATGATTGAGACGCTTGTTCCGGGGTGGATATATGCGAATGAGGGGACAGGGGCTTCGTCGGGGTCCGGTCTGAAGTTGGGTCTACCGCGACCGCGGCCTTGTCCTCTGCCCCTAGACGCTCCTCGTCCTCTTCCTCGGTCTGAGACGGGGTTGGAGTCGCCGCGGCCGCGACCGCGGCCCGTGTGGGTACCTCTTGATGATTCTGAAGAAGGCGGTTGCCGGTTTGGACGGCCGCGTCTGGAGGGCGGTTGTTGCATAATGTGTTTAGGTTGGGTTTGTTGGCTGGCTTGGGGATGCTTGCGCAGAAAAAAAGGCAGCGTTTAAAAGCCGCCTTAGCGAGCCCTTCGTTCCTCCAATGAATCTTTCAATCTCTTTCTCAGGATGTGTTCGAACAGTTGTTGTGTTCGCCTTCCCAAAATCGCAAAAGACGACTCAAGATCAAATGCTGGTGGAAATGATCGTAGCTTAAATTGGCACAGAGCTGATCTGATACGGGAAGAAGAGTCGGCGTGGGAGCCGGCATTTGTCGGAATAACTATTGTCCCTGTAAAATAAAATGTTGATGTTGAGATCTTAAACAGGATGAGGATGTTGTAGGATGTTGGTGTTAGGGCGGTTTGCACAGTATTTTAGTGCGCATTACGTCATTCGCTCGCTCCCTTCGCATTATGTAGCAATGCCTATGTACCACACTCCAGGTACCACACTCCAGACCGTGAGACACACAGGGATGTAGGCAATAGCCAAGCTCGTTTGGAGATTTTTCTATGTACATGTACGTCTGGTTAGAGTAGCGCATCGTCATCCTCGCGATATCAGCGTCTTTCATACAAACCACACACATCACACCGTACACCTCCCGCCTTCATCGTCATCATGCGTTCCGCGAGCAGTACTTGTTATGTAGTCATCATAGACCCGTATATCCACCCCGTCCATCCCGCCATTATATCAGTTGTAGGTGACGTTGACCCCACGTTGACCGTCAAGGTTGTTGAACTCGTCCCGTAGAAGCCAGAACCGAACACCGTTCCCTTCCTGAATGCGTCCGTGAGCCTTGTGATGCCTGATCAGCTTCTGTCGGCGATTTGTATACCCCCGCATGAACTGTTCATCATCCTGCCAATCCCGAAAGATGTCCTGTGCTACTCTGACAGCGGTAGGCCCATATGATGAATTCCTTCCGTCGGGGACATTCCTAACATTATCGTGCTCGCAGTCGAAGGCTCGGAAGTTTCTGTTGGCTAGGTCGAGGTCCATGATGTAGTCGAGTGCGTTCCACCTGAGCTCAGCGAGCTTGTCCTTGATGATGTCGACCTCGTTCTCTGCTTCCGGGTCCTCGTCCACACGGCCATCAGAGGATGGAGGATGTCCGGCAGCTTGGATGTTCCTGTCCGCCTGCATCTGCGCCTCTGTTGTACGGAGTCTGTGGCCATGTTAGCAGCTGCTTAGTGAAAGAGAAAGTCATGACTAGGTTTTGGGTAGGCCTGGAGGAACTCGCAGCACTCTGATGATTTGTGAGAGTGGTAAAGATACACTGAAGCCCTTCTGGGACTACCAAGAGATTCCGCAAAGCGGATAAGAATGTGATGTAGTACGTACCGATCTCTGGCTGTCTCGGCATTAACGAGTTTCTCTTGAAGATCTTCGAGCTCTCTCTTTTGACCCTCGATCTTGCTCATCAGGCGCTGCACATCCGTAGTGTTGATGTTCGCCTCCAAAACATACTGACGATTCTGAGCAGACAGCTGGTCAACCCGCGTTTGCAGATCGTCAAATGCCGCTTGACTGATGGCCATCTCGTTGGAGCGTGTGTTGGCATTGAAAAGCTCGCCCTCAAGAGAGTCGACTCTACCCTGAAGACGACGGACGTTGACCTGGAACTGTGCACGAGTTTTCGCTGCATCTTGTTCCGCTGTAGTCGTAGCGCGTCGTGCAATGATCAGTTCGGTATCCTTTTGCTCAATGGTGGATCCGAGCACCTGTACTCGTGCGCGCAGTGACTTCGCTTCAGAGACCGTGATGATATTGCGCTCATTCGTCCGCTCCAAATCCCTTTCCCGAGTCTTACTGGCGTCGACTTCACTTTGTAACCGCTGAATCTCCCGCTTCAGATCGCTATTGTTGCGGTCCGCGATAGTCAGCTCCAGTGATAGCCTGAACAAGTCCCTCTCGTCGTCGCTGTCAGAGCCATTGTTCTCAGATGCGACGGCGCTGTTGGGGAGGGGTGTAGGCTGCTGCTGTCTTCCTGGATGACTACCGTCATCATCGTTGTCGAAGGCGGAGGAAGCCATGTTTTCGCGAATTCGATGACCGATTTTTGCGCTGCGTGTGTGGTGATGGTGGGCGAGCACCTCGGGTCGTACCTACCTGATGCAGAGTAGGGCCCATGCTTGGCGGAGCGTCCTCACCAGGGAGGAAGGCACACCAGGCGCAGATGTGAGCGATGAACGGTGAACTACGAAAGAGAAACTTTGAAATAAAAATGACAGCGGCTGGCCTCTGTAGCAGGTCAACCTGCGAGGTTCGCAACAAGCTTTGACGATTTCCAAGCAACACGACAGGATGATGGCCGTTTGCTCACACCGTCTGTTCGCGCTGGTGAGAGAACATAGCCCATCCAAGCAAGCAATGAGAGTAATTCTTGAAACGTGAGCTGCAGACATGTGATCATTGTACAGATAATCATATAAAGATGAGAGATACAAGCGAAATGAACAGAAAAGGTTTACACATCCTTGCGTTGTCAGCCGGCCTATTATCACTCATTACCTGCCAATGTTGCTTCTCCATTGGCGGCGATGTTGATACCGTTTGACCCGCCGATTGACTTGCTGCCGTCGGAGCCCTGCGTGATGCCCAGGTTTCCACCAAGGTTCGCCGCGGCGCCGTCTTCGCCGAGGGTGATACCAGATTCCTCAGAGAACTTCTCAGACTCTTCAGTAGCCTTGACGCCGTTTGACTTCTCATCCTCGGCCTTTTGAGCTTCCTGTTCAGCTTCTTTCCTGGCTGCTTCTCCTTCGGCGCGTCCGGGCTGGTTCTCTGTACCAGCGCCAGCACCAGCCGCACCTTCTTCTGACTCTTGCTCGGCGGCGACAGCAGGCTTTTCACCGGCGACGGCGGACTTCTCGCCCTCCGCTGCTGAAGACTTGGGCTCCTCTGCGGCTGCCGCAGTACTATTGCCCTGCTGATTTCCGCCGAGCTTGAGACCGTCGCCAGTGATACCACCGCCTGAGCCGCCTAGAGTGAGGCCTCCGATCGTGAGACCACCTCCTCCGCCACCTTGCTTTTGAGCCTCGCGGCGGCGACTTCCTCCATGGTTCAACGAGTCAAAGCTCTGGAAGTCTGCGTCACGTCTGACAGGGTGTGCGCGATACGAGCGAGAGGCAAGGTTTGCTTTGGTCTAGCATGAGTGTCAGCATACGCAGTGAGTGACAAGCTTTAACACGAGAGATAACGTGTTGAGTAGCCTAGATGGTGCATCGGATCAACATACTGCCCATAGCGTGCGAGGGGGAACGACGAATGCATCGACGCATGATACGGCCAGTAGACCGAGAGTCAATTCCAGAGAGAGCTTCATATCGAGAGAGTTTGTTGATTAGCGGATCGAAAGAAGACGTAGACGTGAAACAGCTGTCCGGCAGCAAGATGAACAGATGACTGTGAAGTGAAGCGATGGTACTAGCGAGCTCATCAAGTGCACCTCCTGAGGCCTACTGCGAATAAATGCTTCCCGAGCCCATGAGTCTCAGTGACATCTGCTTCCCTCAGCCACCCGTCGTTGGCATTGCCGGAATTACATGATGGAACGCTTTCACAACGTTTACAGGCCAGCTTGACGATCCAGAGTGGTCGGAACAGTGTGTCAAACGCCAGTGCGCGGCGGGGCCGACCGCTCGCTAGGATGCTGGGGTTCTTCATGTCGCACAAGCGTCGCAGCTCCCGTCAGGGCCATGATCTTCGACTCTTCGGAATTTTCGGCCTCAAATGAAGCCGTCTTTGAAAGCCCAGATAAGAACTATCCCCATGGTTAAGCATTCCAAGTGCTGTCTTGTGTGTAGTGCCATGAAAGCCAAGACCGGATTTGAATGGGATCCTGACATTTGTGTACGGTGTGTTGACTGCTGGGTTTCGAATCAGAACAGAAACTAGTTGTCGTACGAGTTTCTCGGTTGTCAGAGAGCCTCGCGGTATTGCTGCGTGCATCGCGGGATTCCGAGGTCTGTCTACCTAGGTAGCGAAGCAAGACCACGTGTGGACGGACATGATCAGGAGCTCCACATATCCATCTTGTGACTGCCTCTATAACACGGATGAACGCATTTTAGTCGCGAAAAGCATGAAGCGAAGTGAGGAGAATGTGCCCGGAAGGAGATGGGATGAGATGCGTTTGGTGAGAGGACAATGGCGATGACGACTGGCGGCCACGCGAGATTGACGCGCCAATGTCGATGACTAATCCCGCGCAACACGCGCCTCACGTCACGATGACTCGTCATTCTTTCCAGTTGATTCATTCTGACTACTCATTCAATTTTCAATACATATCTGCGTCGTGGGCTTGGGCTTGGAGCCATTTCCTGTTCGGACGCGACGATATGCAAAACATTATCGCCTTTCAGACGTATCCTCATACTATGGCCTGATGAGGCACAGCGCTATATTACCCATTCAATCCAACAAGTTCACTGACGTGAAGCCAGCATTCCAGATTGAATCAATGTCCTCCGTCCGTCCAACGAATTCGTATACGTCCTACCTAAATCCAAACACCACTGGTCCTGCGCACCCTTATCCGTTCAACAAACGCTCTCCTTCATTTTTGTACAACTTGAACGCCTCGTGCAGTGAATCCGCAGTCTCACCAGGAAAGAGATGCACAAAGAAAGGGTAGCCCTTCTTGCGCTTTACCTTCCACATGAAGAGCTCTCGCTTGGCTTCGTCGTTCCAGCCGGTGAACACGAATTCACCATTGTTGCTAGGTGATGGGGCTTTCACGGTCTTTCGAGGAGCTACAGGTGTACCTCGCAAGGCACCATCACGGCTACCAGGAACTGGAGTTGAAAAGGCTGCGGAATAATGATTTAGCGGGAAGACTACCAAGGTGTTTTGAGTCATCTTACTGCCTGGCTCACGCTGCTGAAGATCTACTGGAGCTTGCGGCTGTCCAATGGAGTTAAAGACAACAGGACCATGTAGGCCCCTCGGTGCTTGGCTTTGCCTAGGGTTTTGTGGAGCTGCAGCTGCAGTTGAAGATCCAGAGGCCTGCGGATTGGCCCTGACTGTCCTTGTATCCGGCCGAGTACGACGAGAAACCACGAAGGCCTCGCCGGTCCATACCCTGTCGTCATCCACGTACCGCCAAGCCTGAGCCGGGTCTTCCCATGGGGGTGGATTTGCCGCTGGGGCTACGCATGAAAATTAGATTGAAGACTACAGTATCGTTAAAATGGCTTACGTCGAGTGTGTAGGCGACTGGCTGGTCCATGTGGCTGCATGAATGAAGGTGCAAAGTCCCCGTCGTTGTTGGGGAACAGAGACTCGTCCAGGTATTTCAGGGGGCGATATCCAGCACCACCAGAAGGTTCTTCGTGATTGGGGCTGTCGGAGTTCGAGTTATTGGCCATGATACTGTATATGATGATTATTTGTTATAGGTTTGACGTTGCAGAGGGAAGACGATGGCAAAAAGGGGAACTTATAAACACTGAAGGTATGGGAAGCAAGGCAGAATCGACCGTGAGCACGACACTCTTCTGTGTGTATATACCAGGTGAAGGCAGGAGAAGTTGAGTCAAACATCCCTGAGCTATTCAAAGACGACATGACCTTATTGTTCCTCGACTCACGCGTGTATACTCCTTCTTTATGCAACAATACGAGTACGTTTGCTTGTTCCGCACGTAGATGGAAGCTGATCACTTGTCCTTTGAGCAAGCTTACTATTGTGTAGGCTATGCTAAACGCTTAACCTTGGAATGAAGTCACATTCAAGATCGATATCATGGCTAAGGAATCAAGAGCTAGGCAGCCTCCCGGCCAAAGGCGAAAAATTCATGAAAGATTGCAACCCGACTAGCTTGTTTGTACAGAATACCACAAATGTGCCATCAAAACCAGCCTTCCGCTACGTCTTTCACGAGTGGGCCAAACTCTCGCATCACTCACTGATACCGACCGAAATATGGACCGTCTGGAAGTACCGAGGGCGCCTCGTTCCTCTGGCTAGCCATTATAGGACCTTGGTAACCTGGGGAGACAGGAGATATGTGGTTCGTCGACATCACACCTGGCTGTGACGCGTTCCTTAGGGCGTTATCATTATAGACTGAGCCCCATGGCAGTGGATAGTTCAGAATTTGGTAGTGTGCTGCTACCGGGAAGTTATAGTGTTGGCCAACAGGCTCGCCGGATGGTCGAAAACCTGGGGCAGAGTACCGCGGAGGACCGATATGTACGTTTTGATCTGAATACGGCCCATGGACTTGACTGTAAGTTGCCCGGGCGGGTGTCGCATACTTGACTGAGAAGTTCTGTCAGCGTGGAACCATATTGGACTCTCTGTAACACTGACCTCGTTCCATACTCAGAACGCCGCCGAATTCTCGTCGAAATGTCATGATAATCTCGACCAAAGCCTTGCTGTCAATGTGGTACGACAGCCGTTGAAAGCTCATCTGCAGCGCAAGCATTGTGTTACCTGCGGCCGCCGGCAGTAGGTCGAATGCACCATTGAGAGCCGTCTTCAGCGCGTTCTCGTTGATGTTTAGAGTGGCTGCGAGTACGGCCAGAGCAGACTGCGCTGCTGGGCTGCCTTCGTTCGTGCGGACGGCGACTACTGACTCCATGTGGGCGACTTGAAGGAAGTGGGGAGAATGGACTGACCTTCGAGAGAGCCATAAGTGACATGCGGTGAGCGGAACTAGGCAACTACAGTGAAATGTGATTGTGGAGGTGTTTCACGGTGAATTTCGCCTTGTCTAGTTTACCTACGTAGTTCAACATTTCGACGACTTGACTGAAAATCATGCAATCAACAGTATCGCCTCCGTGACTTACTATCAGATTGCCAGGGCTCGGTGTATTCTATTGAGCATGGGAAGCCCTGGGGATAGGCAAGAGACCCACGTCAGCCAATGTAAAACCTAAACACCGTGGAACCTACATTGGGTTGAGCTCAGCTACTTTGCATGTTTTTATCTTAATGTAGTCTGCAGACCTATTCAGGTTTTTTTCTTGCATGAGTGCTGTCATTGTGGAGGTGCTGGCGGTGGCAGGCCGAATAGGGCTAGGGTGTCGCGCCTGGCTCAGCCGCCAAAACCAAATAACGTCATTGTTCGCGAGTTTCGCTTCGTGCCCAGGTGGGAACTGCCACGCCCTTACCCTCCAGCTCAACAGAGCCCATCCCCCCGTCCACAACAACCATGGCAACGCGTCGAAAAGCCGACACCGACATCAGCAATGGGGCTCCTATCACAGCCGGCATGCCCAGCGGTACCGTTCGCTCTCCGTCCGCGCGCCGCTCGCCCTTTCTCCCCACCCGTCTCGAAGCGCAGCTCATCGCCATCTACCCATTGACGCTCCTCATGGGAAGCGTGTTCAGCATAATATCGCCGTCAAACCGCAGTGCGCCCTACTCCGCCGTCCTCCAATCCCACCCCGCCGAATTCGCGCCCTCGTACTTTGCGCAGAAGAAGAACATCTTCAACGTATACTTTGTCAAGCAGGGCTGGTTCTGGACGACACTCGCCTTCGCCGTCTTCGTCACCTTTCACCCTGGATTCGGTCAGGGTGCCAGCGCGAGACGCATCCGAGCGGTGATGCGATATGGCGTCGTGACAACATGGTGGTGCTTCATGACGCAGTGGTGCTTTGGGCCGCCGCTGATTGACCGCGGGTTCAGGTTCACGGGGGGCCAGTGCGAAATCATCAGGGACCCGGAGGCGAGGGAAGAAATGAGCACCACGAGAGAGTACATTACCGCGGCGACATGCAAGGCGGTTGGTGGAACATGGAAGGGCGGACACGATATCTCTGGACACGTCTTCTTGCTCATACTTGGCTCGTCACTCCTGTGGCTAGAGTTTCTGCCTGCGTTGACGCGTGTAGAGGGACTGAGGGATGGAAGGCTCATCACCTTGCCCGATGGCAAAGTTGCGAGCGTTGCAGTGGAGAAAGACCTCGTCAAGTCTGAGGGCGAGGCTACTGCGCGTGGCGTCAAGTTCGCGCTTGGTGTCGCCGCACTGATGTGGTGGATGCTCCTCATGACGGCCGCCTACTTTCACACTTGGTTTGAGAAGTTCACGGGCCTTTTGGTTGCCTTTGCAGCGTTGTGGACTGTTTACTTCCTTCCAAGAGGCGTCCCACAAGTCAGAGCGTGGTTGGGCATGCCTGGTGTATGAGAACCGTAGCTACGAATCGAGCTATGGGTGATGGCTTTCGTCCTGCGGAAGGCATAGCAGCGACAGATCCCAAGCTGAGAGTGGAGATGCCACAGACCGCAAGACGGGTTTATGGGTTGACGAGTCAAGCGTTTGAGCAAAAGCTTATCCAGCGTCAGTATAGTTTAATAGCATGCATCAAGACTTAGGCCCTTGTACAGCACTGACAGCTGGGCGCTCTAGCCTCGAGCATGGGGCGTCATGGCATCATGGTGCTCAGGTGATGTCGAAAGTAGGTTCTTCTGACATTTTCGCCAACAGTATACATCCCGAGATTTGTACCCGTGCCATGTTTTCTAGCAGCTGGCACCTCATTCAAGGAAGAATTGGATACTCTGGAGCCTACGTTGACGTTGGGCCGTATACTTTGCAGCTTTCCATGTTAATGTAGGCTCTAAGGTGTCCACTTTTTCCCTGGAATGAGGTGCTGGCGCTACTTGAACGGCTTTTCTACGGCAGCCACATCGTTTTCCTGTAGTTTTCCGCTCAACGTTGTGCTAGTGTACCTGATGAGCGATGGCAGCTGCAGCCTTCTATGGGACCGTTGACGACATCAACCGCGGCTAAACGTCGCACCGACCCAGAGTTGCACCGTCCCTTCTCCATCCGGCATCCTATCCGCCGACTTCCGCAGCTGGCCCAATCACTGCAATTTACGCAGAGTTCCATGGCAGAAGAGCTTGTCTGTCGACCCCGGACCCTCCCCACTTCCCCTCACGATGATCAGTCCACTGCATCCCCGATGTAAGCTAGGCATGCGACCAGGGTGGTTGGGAGTGTACTTAAGAAGGTACCTTGACGAATTTTCGTGATGCATTGCTCACCTGCAAGATCTAGCAATGATTGGTATCAAGGGTCTCGCGTTGAGCCTTTTGGTCAGCGCTGTCGTGGCGCAAGATGGTAAGATATGGCTATACGTTACAATAGAGGCAGTCGCTAATTCGAGGCAGCTATTCAGGCATCTGGCACAAACTTCACACTTACCGCCGACGGCATGTCATACCTGTTCCACGTTGATACCGAGTCTGGCGACCTCATCTCAGATCACTTTGGAGGACCAACCGACGACTTCACACCGCCAGCCTACATCCTACCATCCGGATGGGTAGCTGGCGAGATAGGCAACGAGCGTCGCGAGTTTCCCGATATTGGCCGCGGCGACTTCCGTTTACCAGCTATCCATATCGAACACGCCGATGGCGACACGATATCCGCTTTCCGCTACCAATCCCACGACATTGTACAGGGAAAGCCTTCTCTGCCAGGACTACCTGCGACTTACGGAGAAGCTGGCGATGTCACGACGGTAACCGTGCACATGTACGACAACGTGTCGGACGTTTCCGCTGTATTGATGTACTCAATCTTCCCCAAGTACAACGCTATTGCACGTAGCTTCAGCATTGCGAACAACGGTACTGCTGATATCGTCATCGAGAGAGCGTCGAGCTTTAGCACCGACTTCCCCAATCTCGACCTCGAGATGATTGAGCCCCACGGTGATTGGTCGCATGAGTTCCAGACCGTGAGGAGGAAGATCGATTATGGCGAGACTTCGTGAGTCGATATGCCTAGGCGTTGCTGTATATATACTGACATCTATCAGGTTCCGAAGTACCGCAGGATATGCATCTCATCTTCACAACCCTTTCTTCGCGTTGGTTTCGCCAACCACCACCGAATCTACCGGAGAGGCTTGGGGCATCAGTTTAGTGTGGACTGGTAGCTTTGAAGCTACAGCACAGCGCTTCTCCAACGGCTATGTGCGCGTTCTCATGGGCCTTAACCCGCTTCATTCCAGCATTCGCGTGGCACCAGGGGAGATGTTCCAGTCTCCCGAAGCTGTCGGTGTGTACTCCTCTCAGGGTGTTGGTGGCGTGTCGCGCTCGTTCCATGATCTCTATCGCAATCACCTCTCTCGACACAAGTTCACGGACCAAACCCGCCCCATTCTGCTCAATTCGTGGGAAGGGCTGAGTTTCGATATCAACGAAACGTCTCTGGTCAGCCTGGCCGGCGAGGCGGAAGAGCTTGGAATTGAACTGTTCGTGATGGACGATGGCTGGTTTGGTGTCGAGTACCCGCGCAACAATGATACTATGGGTCTCGGAGACTGGACACCCAATCCAGCAAAGTTCCCCGACGGTCTAGGCCCGTATGTGGAGCAAGTCAATAACTTTACAGTGTTGAATGCGTCGTCCACGCCTTTACAATTTGGTATTTGGGTGGAACCAGAGATGGTAAACCCCAATTCTACCTTGTACCATGAGCACCCCGACTGGGTCCTGCATGCTGGAAAGCACCAAAGGACGTTGACACGAAACCAGTTGGTTCTAAACGTAGGGTTGCCGGAAGTCCAGGACTACATCATCAGCTCGATTTCTCGTGTACTCGATTCCGCCAACGTCCAATACGTCAAATGGGACAACAACCGTGGCATGCATGAGCTTGCTCGCCCATCTGATGACTACACCTACATCCTCGGTCTGTACCGCGTTATCGACAACCTCACAACGAGCTATCCTGATGTACTCTGGGAGGGTTGTGCATCAGGTGGAGGCCGATTTGACCCTGGTCTTCTACACTACTGGCCTCAGCACTGGACCAGTGACAACACCGATGCTTCAAACCGTCTCACGATCCAAATGGGCACATCACTGGTCTACCCGCCCTCAGCAATGGGTTGCCACATATCTGCAGTTCCCAACGGTCTCACCCATCGCAACATCAGCATCGAATACCGTGGTCACGTCGCTATGATGTGCGGCTCCTTCGGTCTCGAACTCAACCCCTCCGAACTCTCCCCAGAGGAAGCTTCTGCCGTGCCTTCCATCATGGCCCAAGCCAAGGCTGTGAACCCCGTCGTCATCTCCGGCGATTTCTACCGCCTTGCGCATCCCGATAGCAGCAACTGGCCTGGTGTGCAATTCGTCAGTGCAGAAGGGAACCAGAGCATAGTCTTTGCGTTCCAGCAACAGTACATGATCAAGCCCGCAGCACCTCCGCTTAGACTACAGGGCTTGGATCCTAAGGCGAGGTATAGTAACGATCTGGACAATGCCACCTATAGCGGGGCTACATACATGAACGGCGGGCTTAACATCGCGTGGCCAATGGGCGACTACCAGAGTAAGCTCATTTGGCTGAACAAGGTCTGAATACGTCAGTACGATAGTACTCTAATCGAATCACTATTTTGAATGCGCGGCAACGCGGTACACTTTGAAAATGTGGGTGCTTGTTCAATCTTACGAAATACTGTTCATTGTTCACACTTATTCTCGCCTGGCGTTACCACGCTGATTGGCATGTCTTGGTTACGAATGTACCGTCAGTGGTAACGAAAACAGAAGCTTCACCAACCTAAGCTAAGACTACTACGATGCAAATAATTCTGGGTCTAAAGC